CCAATAATATGTTTGGCTAAACATAAGTGCAATATGATAAAAACTACAAACAATTGCATAATTGAACACAAAGATTTAAAAAACTGTAAATTATTAAGTTAAGAGATAGCAACAAAGCAAATAAGTAGTTTATTTTTAAAACTTAATAAAAAAGATATTCTAGGTAATCTAACAAGACTTAGAATAACTCAAGAGTGCCAGAAAGTAGACTTAGTAAAGATATTTGGGAGTCTAAAAGAAGGCCAGAAAAAATAAAATATTGAAAGCACAACTTAGCTTGTCAAATAATAATTAAGGCAAAAAAGAAAAAAATAAATATTAGAGCAGAAAACCACTTGTAAAAAGTATATAGTCATGATATAAAAATAAGAAATTTAGTTAGAACTAAATCTTGAATAGCAAGTAGTAGCACAATAAACAAATAAGGTTTGCTATATTTGAACCAACTTATAAATATAAAAAAAGAGAGTTTAATCATATAGAGACAGCTCAAAAGCCTTCAAGAGCTGTTATGTAAAGAAAAAAAAGCCAAATAGTTTAGTAAAATAAAAGAAAAGATGTTAATAATACAAAAAAGCAGAGAAATATATAATCAATACAAGATTAATAATTACAATACTTAGGTACTAATGATTAACTAGACAAAGATATTAGAAGACAGAAAAAAAAAAGAGTAAATCATATATAGACCAAAATACAACCAACAACCCAGCAAAATATCAAGAAAAAAAAAGAAAAAGATTTTAGCTAAACACTGGCTTTTGTGAAAAATAAAAGAAAAAACATATACTAAAATAAGCAAATACAAAGAGTATAAAAATAGAACAAAACAAATAACAAACAATTGTGAAAAGTGAATAAAATAGAACAACCATATAAAGGCAGTTCCAGAAACACTAATAAAAAAAAACAATAACAAAATTAATACAACATTAAAATAAATACTAAAAAACAGAACAATAAAAGAATAGAAAAAGGAAGAAAGATGACTAATTAGGCTAAATCAAATAAAAAAACTAAAAATAGAAGTAATCAAAAATTAAAAATTAAATAATAAAGTTACAGCTTATTTAATAGAAGTCTTAACAAAAAACAAGATAAGAAACAATGACAAGTATATCTTTTATACAGATGAAGCATCATATAAAGAAAAAAGAGAAAATAGTATAGAAAAAATGAACATTAGTTAGGTACAGATTTGCAATAAAGAAAACTAGCCAGAGAAAGAAACAGCATTGGGACTCAAAAGTTGACTATTAGTAACAACAGCAGAACTGGCAGTAATATGATTAGCAATTTTAATTATACTAAAGAAGAAGAATATAGAATTAGATACAGATAGTCTTGCTATAATAAAGAACATTAATAAAGCAATTCAAAAGTTAAAAAATAACAAAATCCTAAAAAAGAAAAATGTGATATGAATAATGAATATTATAAATTTAGTCAAAAGTAAGAATAATAGAATAGAACTAATTAAGGTTAAGAGTCACAATAATGATAAGTAGAATAACAGAGCAGATGTACTCGCAAAAAAAGAAGCAATATGTAAAATAACAATATTAACAAAGAAGATCAAGTATGACAGAATAAAGTATTACTTATAATAAGAAAATAGAAAGATTGATATATCAACAAAACTTCTTTGTAAAATAGTTACAAATACCAAAATTGAAATTAGTTGATGAAAAACAAATCTGATTTGAGTACTAGAACCAGAAACAGAGAATACTTAATACAATTGGTCAAGTTTTTAAAAAAAGATAAATAGAATGAAAGATGTACATTGCATAACAAGAAAACTTAGCACAAAAAGAGCAATGGTGATCAAATACATAATGAATAGTCTACTAATACTAGAAAAATTAAATAAAAAAAGACCAGAAATATATATAATAACAGATTGCCAAGTATGTCAAATAAGTGAAAAAAAAACTTAGACACATTTGGCAACCTACATTGAACAAAAAAGTCTGTAAAAGAAAATCCAAAAAATAGCAACAGTAATAGCATAAAATAGTCTTAAAAAAAGTAAAAAAATTTGAATTTTATCTTGAGTGCTATATGAGACAATATTTAGAAAAACAAAAGCAGAAAAAATTATTAATAGAAGAACATTAATAAAAGGACTAATTATGAATGAGATTAGAAAAAAGATCAGTTAGATTCTAGACAGATATATAATACAAAGATGCATAGATATAGTAACAAAACTAGTATAGAATATGTTCTACAATCAAGTATGAAGAGTTTAATATGAAAAAACCAAAAATGAGAAAAAAAAATTAATATAACAAATAAAACAAAAAAAAGTACTTAAATTAAAAGAAGGCCAGAAAAAAGAATAAAGAAAGACAAGCTAGCAAAAAAAAAAAAAGGAAAAAATGATGGAAAAAATGATCTGAATAAAAGATGAAGTTTGAAAAACAATTGATATACTTGTTACAGAAGAGAAAAGACCTTTTTGGTATAGTTTTAAGTAGTTAAACAAACAGTTTATTTCTAATTAAGATAGTATGACAAGTTGCATTTAGATACCAATAGGGTGGTCGAATGATACTAGACTTAGATATTAGAAAATTCTATATAATTATAAATGTATATAGTTTTAAGAATCTTAATAAAATACTAGTGTAACTGCTTAAGGTTAAAAAAAAAAATTTAAATAGTTGTATATAAAAATAACTTATTTTTTTTATTATAGCTGTTTTTTAAATAGTTAAAATTATTTAAAAAAATATTTTTTAAATACACTATATACACTTGTATATTGAATATTAATTGACTATTTTAAGATACCAGAATTTGTTATTTGGCAATTACAAAGATTAAAATAATTAATATTATAATTATGCATATTCATACACTTATTGCATTTTTATGCATACCAATGCACTTTTTGCATATTTATGCATTATCTGCATACTCATGCATATTTTATACACCTCTTACATAAAATAAACATAAATATGCAAGGAGTGCATAAATATATATAATTATAATATTAATTATTTTAATCTTTGTAATAGTTAAATAACTGATTTTAATATTTTAAAATAGTCAATTGATATTTAGTGTACAAGTGTACACAGTGTATTCAAAAAATATTTTTTTGGATAATTTCAACTATTTAGAAAACAGTAATAAAATGTTTATAAACATTTACAATTAAATTATTACAAATAGTATAATAGATATAAACTAGAAATATTAATGCAAGAAAAAAAAATTTTGTAAATAAATCTAATATATCCATGCTAGTTATTAGAATTATTATAAATACATATTATTTTTCTTTGGGTTTTAGCACTTTGTAAAAATCTAATTTATTTTGTATAACTATTTATTATATACTAAAACAAATATGCATATATTTACTAATTTTATTTAAAAATATTAATTTGTAATTGTAAATACTATGCAAATTGTTTAATGTTGATCAGAAATGTTTATACTGTACAATTTTTACAAAACAGGATGTGAATTAGTTATTAAAATATTTTTTGGATTTGAATACTTTAAAATAATAAACAAAATAAAAAACATTCGAACTCAGAAAAGTAGAATAAAAGAACTCAAAACAGAAAAACTCGAAAATAAAATAATCAAAAACAATAAACTTATAATCCCCAGTCGTATTAGAAAAACAGCATTTAATAATTTATTGCAAAAATTTCAAAAGTTAAAATAAATAATTTTTTTTTGTAGATTAAAATTTGGAATTTATAATATTTGAATTTACGATACATTATCGTTATCGTTATTCGAATTTACAATCTATAATCTGACCAATCATATCGCTTGATCTGAAAAAAATTTTGGTGGTAGGTTGAATGGGCTCGGAGCTAGGGCAAAATTAAGTAATAATACTAGTCAACTCTAAAATATTATCTGGGCAGCTACCATTTTTATCATAGGCAGAAGTTTGTCAAAATCAAATTATTACTAAACTAATTTTTTTAAACGGACGTTATTTTTGACTAGTCCTACAGCTCTAATGAAACCTTCTATATGGTTTTTTTTTAAAAAGTAGAGAGTTCCTATCCATTATCCGCTTATCTATTTATCTATTGGATATATCCGTTATACTATTGATATCCGGATATCAATAGTAAATGGATATCCGGATTGGACCTCTAAATGATGTAAAATAAATTGAATTTATTAGCCAATCAGACTATGAACCATTTTATTAGTCAATTTTGAGAGAAATTTATCAATACGTACCGCTGGTCAATCTGCAGAATTTTTGTCGCTCCCACTAATCTATCCTCCCGAAATAGCGCGCACCGGGTAAATAACGTGGTGTATCGGTAATATATCAGGTAATGACAGTTACAAAATCAATACTTTATCTCAAGTTTATGGTATTGATAAAGTTTATACATAACGATAACAAAATAAAATAAAATATTTTGAATCTAATAAAGCTTAACGACTTTAATAATTTAAATAATGAAAAATTTTAATCTAAAATTTATTATTATTTATAATTACTAAATTAAAATACGTAGAAATCATTATTATTTTATTTAACCACATTTGTAATTGTCGCGTTTGAAGTTAAGCACGACATAATTACACTGGTACATATGTACGAGACAACATAATTCATTATGAACAAATGACCTATGACAGGGCATAAAGGTCATATAGATCATCTGCCGACACGAAATCTAACCGTAGTTGATCAATCTTATGTAATCCTTTGGTGATCAAATGAGATGTGATACCAATATGAAAATGATAATACGTACGATTTAACTTTTGAAGTTAATCACATCATTTTTAATGTGAATTTCCACATGATCCGCGTGAAATAACGATCTGCAGATAATTTCGGTCATTAAAAATTCAAATAAACAACAGGGATGATAAATAAACAACGGGATTGATAAATACTTAAGGCAGGATTGGATTGATAAATACTTAACATTAAGGCAGGATTGGATTGATAAAATCTTTTTTACACAAAAAAAATCAACTTGATTAATAAAAAAATGGATTTACAAGCACAAGATTTTAATACAAATTCTCGTTTAAATCAACTTAATTCAAACAGTTTTTTGCAAGGTGTTGATAAGAATTCGATAGAGTCACAAAAAAAGGTGCAAGGGGACAAAGTTTGTAAAAGTTTTAATAAATAAATGAATGAATAAATAAATAAATAAGAGAAAAAAGACGTAAGAGTAATGCAAAATAACTATTATCAATTATATAATTTCAGATATTGAAGACTTTAGAACAATCAAAATTCTTGAGCGATTACCTATCACAAATAAACGTGGCAGATCATAACGCATCTCATGATGAAATGGAAATTCCAAGTTGTATAGCTTTTTCAACGCGGAAAATTGAGACAAGATTTATTAATCAAGAATTGATAACACGCACAGTTGAATTCGATAAGTTGATGGCAAAAATCGACAATATTGAGCATGTGTTAAGACAAAACATAATTACTATAAAAGAAGAAATGTCTACAATCGGTTCATCATTAACGGATGAAGTACAAAATTCACGTGGAGGAAATCACATAGGTACATAAGTATGAATATAGAATATTATTTATATTATTTATATATACAGACAAAGTAATTTTTAATGATAAAAAAGAAATATTTAGGGAAGAAATAAGCAAATTGATTCCAAAGTTAATTCAAGACATAAATTTGAAACATGAAGAAAACACAAAGTCTTTAGAGCAATCGCTTTCAGAATTAAAGAGAGAGTTTACTATTCATCAACAAATGCTTGAACATGTTCTTGAAGTAAGAAATTTGATTTGATAAATTAAGAAAGGAAAAAAGCGAAAAATTGACAAGTTTTACATAATCATAATGATATACTATTTACAGAATCAAAAAATAGCCAATTGTCAACAATGTTTAAGCGCGCCAACAGGTGGTACGGGTAGCACCGGTAGTTTACTGTCAACCAAAATGGAAACGAAAAGATACAATACAATTGTAAAGCAAGAAGAAGAGATAGAATATTCCATGAATAAATCACCAACACGGAGTATTAATACACGAATTGAGCAAGTATTAGACAGCAAACTACACGTGAAAGAAGCAAATAAAATAGGGGAACAAGAATTTACGTTCCAAGAACCGAGCTTTGACAGGAGAGGAATTATGACGCAAAGCAGAAACTCACCATCGATTCATACACTTAAAAAATCCGAACAAAGATACGTTTTAAGGTATTATTAAATATTATAAATTAAATAGGGAAAGTTATTAAGGCATACATGTAATAATCATATATATCATATATATATCATATATATATCATATATATTATATATTGTATATACGTATTCTATATATTGTATATACGTATTCTATATATTGTATATATATTATATGTTTTAGACAAAATAATACAAAAGCGGCACATCTTTCCATAACAAATTCCGAACAATCATCACAGAGCGATTTAACAAATTGCCCCCCGATTACGAAATTAAGCGGTACATCCAAGGTAATGAAAATAAAAAAGGATATAAAAAAGAAATAAAATAATGAAATGTAGAACGTGACACAAATAATTCATAATAATCATTATAATAATAATTATTATTATTATTATAGATAAAAAGAAAGTTGATAATAGACGTTGATTTAGAGCAAGAAATTAAAGAAGCGTTAAGTAATCGAAATAACAAGCAATTAAAACGATAATCAGATACGTATTATTTATTGAAATGAAAAAAATATAATAATTGTATTATAACAAACAGCTGGTAAAGGAATATAGGCGTGAGAGAAATTTTTAAGTCATAGGATTTAATATTTGATGATATTGGTATTCTTTTTACCAAAAACAAAAATCAATGTAACAAGAAAAAGGCTACACTAATGAAACAAAATAATAAGTGATCTCATTAAACATCACTCCTCATTATGAGCTCATAATAAAGCCATAAAAGTATAAATATGGGCAAATCGAGAAATTATTTGTACATAGATAGAATGTGGGGAAAAGACTAAAATGATGCGGCTTCACCTGACAGATAAAGAGTGACTACATAAGGCTGATGCAGGCGTTTTTATGATCAAAAACTAACTAAGAAAAGGCTAACCAAGAAAGGACAAATGGCTAAATTTTTATACAGTAACGGTAGTGGCAAAAAGAAAAAACTGTAAATCGGGGGAGGGAATTCATGACGATCATTTATAACAATGATAGGTGTGGGTGAAAGGAATTCGATCATTTAAATTTGTGGGTCCGAGCAAACGAGTTTTGTGTATGTACAGATTCTTTTACAACTAAATCAACTATATGCAAATGATCTGTTTACATTGAAAAGCATTATGAATAGCATTATGAAAAAGTATTATGAAAAAGCATTGAAAAAAATATTGGGAACACTTTCTTTTATTACTTAAGCTTTTTTTTTTTTTTTTTAATACGTACGTAATACATGTACCTAAATCCATAGCGATAGTCAATCATTTTTTATATTTATATATATATATAGATAATGGGAAAGACAATTTTTAATTTTATTATATTATTACTATTTATTACTATATTATTACATTACAATACGTATTTACAATATGTATTTACAATATGTATTTACATGTATTTACAAGTATATATTTGCAAACTTATTACGTACGAAATTTACATTATAAAAAAGATTTTTATTTATATATTTTATTTCAAGCACACAATAAGCAAAAGAAATGAGGTGGTAATGATGGCAATTACGAATTAGTTGTTTGTTTACATAATAAATAATCGGATATTCAAGCAACATGCTCCGACGTGATAAATAATACATTGCACTTCATCACACCATCACACGGATTTACATGTGCTAAATATATATGCCTCAGCGCATATCTATATTAGGAAAGGAAGGGAGACGCATATAAAAAAACTGTTAATGGGTTCATAATCGGAGATAATTATTCATTATTGGTCCGATTAAAAAAAGATTTAGAACTTTCACGCATATGCCAAGTGTACTAATAAATGATTCGTTCTATTTTATATCAATATGTACATGTGTACGTACGTATACTCTCACTTTTGATGATGAAAAAAGAGGTCATCACTTTATAACGATTATTTATTTAATGCAATTAAATAAATGAGATAGAGAAATGTATATATGGATTAAAATTAATAGCATGCATGATGATTAATACAGTATATGCGGAACAAAGCCTGGTTTGAGATGGTAATATCATAATAATATCATAAAGGTTAAAAAAGGTTGTGAACTGATGAGTTTCGCAAGCAAAATTGCATATAAACAAATCAGTAGTAAACTTATTTTCAAAGCAGGGTGACTTAATGTATTTCTATTTGCTTTGTTAAAATTTCTAAACCAAGAAATACGATAGTCTTTCAGATGCGCCGTTATTGAAAGTCCGATCATAACAATTAATACTTCAAAGAAATGTAACAAAAAAATTTTTTTTTTAAAAAAAAAGGTTGAATAGGATAAACAAATCACGACGTCACTAAATTAGGAAAATAATTGAGTTCTTTTAAATTTATTATGTATATATATAAAATATAAATATATAAATATATATATTTATACATTTAAATTTTTACATATTCGATTTTTATTTTTATTTTTATTTTTTATTTTTTTTTTGGAGGGAAATCAAATAATTGGTCGAACGTATACCCTTTCTTTACATTTATGCGTAGTTGGTTGTATTTCACGTGTTGTTATCGAACATTGGTGCATTTATGCATTTATGCATTTATACATTTATACATCATTTATTATCATTTATTATACATTCATACATTTGTACTTACGTAGCATATACGTAGCGAACATATTAGCCTTAGCATTATGGAATTAACGTTAATGTATGCTAATTTTCAAATGATTTTCATACATGCATATTAATTTGGTGGTTTTTAAAGTTAAAAAAAAAAAAAAAAAAAAGAATTGGGGTTTCATCGCTTATATTTGCTTATATTGCTTATGTAGTTCATTACGTGGAGTTTGTGTATGGTATGTATAGTTCAGTTTATGGTTCAGTTCGTGGTTAGTGTTAACATTAAAAGATTAAAAAAATAACAGTGATTTTCTAAAGCCGCAAATCTTTATGTTGTGCTTATGAACTATTAATTTAACAGAATATGTCCTTCATAAAAAAAAACATTTTCCGTAATATTTAAAGAGCTTTTGTATGGTGCAAGGTTCTTCGGACCGGGCGATACAAAGTAATCGATGAATTTATGTTGTTACACTGCGGGAATTGCTGTTCTTTACTTACTGAAACCAATACGTACGGATTCTAAATTGATCCACCACACACAAATTACCACAAATAATGAATTGCATATTTTATAATAATAATTTGTAACATACTACCAGTAAAAAAATCTCGTGTTTCTTAAGTTATTAATGCTGTCTTTTTATTCGTAGAAATACTACAATACTGTAAATAGTTATATATTCTGTACTTATTGCTTCCATAAATAATTCATCACACGACTATAATCAGCTCTGCCTTTTTTTTCTACATGTAATGTGATGTTGAATGCTTATCAACTTGTGAATATCTTTGCACAAAAATTTTCTTGATCTCTCGTGTAACACCTAATGACCTCTAACTTCTTTATTTAGTTGGTCTATCTCTTTGTAAGGTTTCATCTTATCACACCCCTTTTTTTTGAAAATAAAAAGTCTCTATATTTCTTTTCCCGTCAAAAAAGTGGGCTTTTCATATCTTTTATCTGTTTTTACTTTTATATTTATAAAAAAAAAAATTACACTATTAAATTATTATTATTATATATATTATTATAATTATAATAATTTTTGAGAAAACAAAAGAAAACTCTCCGCTTTTTTTCACACTAAAGAAGAATAATTCCAGTTTTTTTTCTGCTTATATATTTTTCATTTCTCTCTCGTATTATCACTTTTTTCTTTTTTTTTTGGTTTTTTTTGGTTTTGTTTTAGTTTATAAATTCTTTCAGTATTTCGGTAAAAAAAAACAATAATGTCCGTTCCTAATCCTGAAACTGCTGAAATTAAAGTTGAAGAGGCAAAAGTTGAAGCCATTGTTACTGAAACTATTACTGAAACTATTGCGACTGCCACAACTACTGAAACTACTGAAATAGTTGAAGAAGATAAAAAGGAAGTTGTAACAACAACCAAAATAGTTGAAGAAGAACCTGTTAATAAGGAAAATGGAACTAATGTACCTGAGACTCCTGAACCTATCTATAAAGGCCATTTGAATAAGCACCACAAATATTTTGGTAAAAATCAGCGGCATTTTGAATTAAATGAAGACCCTATTCCCAAAGATAATCTTAATCAATATTACAAGAAAAACATAAAAGATGTGCCTAAAAAAGCTCCTCCCACAAAACCATCAGCTGAACCCGAAAAACCATCAGCCGAACCTGAAAAACCATCATCTGAGCCTGAAAAACAAACCGATGCCCCTGCATCTGATACTCCTGCATCTGATGTTCCCGCATCGGATGTTCCTGTGAGTAAAGATGAGAAAGAAGAACAAAAAGAGAAAAAGGAGCAAAAAGAATCAGATCAATTCGACAAAATATATTTCTGTAATAATATTGCTCATGCTATTCAAACTGGCAAGGGTCTTTTATTTTATTACAAGAATGAAAAAACTCTTGAAAAACGAATACCATGGGGTATTATTAATTTAAAGGATGCTACTGTTGAAGTCGATAAAACAAGTTCAAACAAATTCAGAATAACTACTAAAGCTGGAAAAGAGCATGTTTTGGAAGCTTACAGTGAAAAAGAAAAAAGTCGTTGGGTATATACCATTAATGAAGAAATTAAAAAGGCTGAAGATATCGATGCCATCTACGCTTCTGATGAATACAAAAACACTTATGATCAACTTGGTAGGTCATTTTCAAATTTTATATCATGTATGCTATGTTAATGCACGTCAAAAAGTATTTATAAATTAATTTGTTATAAACTATCATTATTTATATATATATATATATATTTTTTTTTTTTAGTAAACGGCCAATTCAAATTTGTTGCTAAGGAGGGTATAACCTCTGATTCTGAACCCCTTTCCGATAGTGATGATAAACAAGGAAGACCAGATAAACGTAGATCCCTATTCCCATTTTCTTTAACAAAGAAGGCTCCTGAAACTCCTCCTACTGAGACTACTAATGCTACTGAAACTACTACTACCACCACTACCACTACTACTGAGGTTATTACTACTGAATCAGACCCCCAAAAAATTTCTGTCAATACTGATGGTGTTAATACTGCTGATGTTTCACCTGATGATGGTACTACTAAATCTCCAAAGTCTTCAAAAAGTAACTTTTTCAATTTCTTTGGAAGGAAGGAAAAAGTCGAGGCAAAAGATGAAAGTGCAAAAGACAAAGAAATACCTCAAGAAACTAAGGATACTAAGGATGTTGGGTCTAATGATACTCCTGCTCCTGGTGAAGATACCATTGTTACTGATACCAAGGGTACTGATGAACCAAAAGATGATACCAAAGAAGAAATTAAAGAAGATGTCAAAGAAGAAATTAAAGAAGATGCCAAAGAAGAAACCAAAGAAGAAAAGAAAAAGGCTACTTTGTTAGACACCGCTATCAATGCAATTACTTCAACCTTTAAAACGACTAAAGAAGAAAAAACTACTACATCAGAGGCAGAAGCTGCTGAAAGTATGTATAATTTTCTTTCAACTTATTTCTTTAGTTAAAAAAAAATATATATATATATATATATTTTTTAAATACTTAAATATTTTATAGAACCTGAAGCTACAGAACCTGCCCCCGAAGAACAAAAAACTGGTGCTGAACCAAGTAAAGATGAGGAATCCCAAACCCCTGACAAGCCAAAAGATGAAACCACTAAAATAATTGCAAATTTGAGTCGTAGAATTACTAGTGTCTTCAAGAAAAGACCCGAGAAAGCTCCCTGTGATGAGGAACAAAAAGATGATGAAACTTCTGGCGCAACGGAAGAAGAAAAGAAGAAGAAGAGGTATTAAATTAATTCATTAAACATGTTTTTAATTATAAAAAATATAACCATTTTTTCTTATTTTCGGATAATAGATTAAGTATTCAAAAAAAGCGATCGGGATCACAAAGTGAAGAAAAACAAGAATCGGATGTTGTACAGGATGAATTCGAAATTATTCATGCTGAAGTAATGAAAGAATATCCAGATTGTGCTAAACAAGGAAAGTTACATAAAGAAACTTATCACGCTTTCTTCAAACGTGATGAACCACGATACTTTGCATTCCATGGTGGTATATTATATTACTTTAAGGATAGTAAAACAAAGAAACAAATTAAAATAGAAAAGAATTGCAGTGTTAAAAAGACAGAGAATAAAAGATTTGAAATTGAAACTCCATCAAGAACCTACAAGTTCCAGGCTCCTACTGAAGAAGAACAAACCGAATGGGTTAAAGTAATCGAGGATCATATTAGTAGTCTCCCAGAAGAATCACCTTCTGACAAAAAGGAGCTCCCTGAAGTCACAAACGTTACCAATAGTGAAGAAATACAGGCAGCGGTCGATGAAGCTGCTAAAGCCTCTAAAGAAAGCACTGAACCCAGTACTGAACCTAGTACTGAACCTAAGACTGAACCTAAAACTGAAAGTGATGTCGCTGAAAAATCAGAAATCACTCCAGCTGCACCTGCTACAACTGCTACTGCTTAATATATATAAAAAAAAAATCATAAAATGCTAAAATGTACTATTTAAATCTTATTCATGTCTCCTTAATCATATATTAATTTTTCTTTATATTTTCGACACTTAGTTTTTAAACCCTAATACATTGTAACTTCTATATACATATATATCATATATAATAACAAAATTATATTCATATGCCATCATATTCAAGAAAAAAAAAATATATTGTCGCAATTTACATTATTATTATTATTATTATATTATTATTATTATTATTATTATTATTACGTATTATTATTATAGTGTCTATATTGTATTCTGATTTTTCTTTTGGAAATTAAAGAGATATTCGGGCTTTTTAATTAATATTGAGTATGAAAATGAATTTATATAAATTATTATAAAATAATAGTTATATACGTACGTACAATTATAAGAGGGTTTTCCACAACTTGGTTATGAAAGTGGATTTACGAATCAGGATTTGTGAATTTTCTCGTGACTCTTAAAATATCGCGTGTACGTACAATGCCGGTAATACAATAATTGATATTTTTTTCGGTGTACGTGTTATAAAATTAGTTATTTAAAAACATAGGCCGATTATATCAAGACCCTAATGCTAATCTTAACTATTACGCCGGCCAATTATGTCAATTAATTTAACGCTGGCCATTTGCTGTGCAAATAGTCACATGTTTTCTGTGTCCTCCTAACGCTAAACGAATTTACTAATTTTTCCCCCAAGGACTGATTGGCTGTACAATTACTCCGATAAGTACTCCGATAGTAAATTGGAAATTAGGGCATCCCCCCTAAATAGAGAATCAACCAGATTTGTCCTATTTTATAGCTGGACACTCTGCCCCTAAACATATAAATCATGTGCTTACAATATTGAAATACGTATATCTAAATTTATAAAGATATATATTTAGTCAATAACATGGTTCTCATAATCAAACCGGGTTAAATTTCACAAAAACTTTCCTTCATCATTAGTGATTTAAGCCAGAAGGTTTTAGTCGGCTGACTAACAGCCATACTTCCGGAAATTTCGGATACTAAATCATATGATCTTTAGCTGCATTAGCCAGCCGATCATATTACATTGGCTGGCTAGGCCGGCTTAAATCACTAATCATCATCACATCGAAATGCGACCAGGTCACATCGCATGAGCGGCTTTCAAAACCATCCTCGAGGATTCGAACTTGGGCAACTAAATGATCTCGTAGTTCGCGCACAGCCATTTGGCAAGCTGATGATGGCACTCTTCGTTTAAATTACGGATTCGTTGTATGATTCGTAGCATTTTTTTTTCTCAATCGAAATCTTTTTCTCTTATTTGTTCTTTCCAAAGCAAGATCTTTGTCACTTGGATTATTTGTATACTTTATCAAGATCACCGTTACTCCATTCGATTAATTGACCGCCGTGATTGTAACCGGTCATGAACGTGCGAACTCCAGGATTACTCATCATCTTGGTCTGCTTAACCCTATCGGTACTTATTTTTAAAATTAGTGTCTTAATGATCATCTCTTGAAGTTGTAACTTCAATTGAAACTGCCTAAAATTATTAACTAATGCGTGCAAGGAAGATCTAATTTCAGGTGTTAATTTTATTTGGTGTGCCTAAATTGGTAACTTCAAGCAGATGTCAACTTCAAGCACGACAATAATACAAAATTTCGATTTATAGACCGATTTATTTTTATATCAAAGTTTGTTATCATATGAAACTAGAAAAGACATGCATAGAATAGACCCGGAGGTTTATGTATTATCGTAGACCTAATTATATGTACGTATGTAATTTTAAAAAAATTAGGTTATACAAACTTATATTTTCGTTTTCATATCACCAACTGATCTCTTGTGACCCGCCAACCCGGATTTTAAATTTTTTTTAAAAAAAAATTTTAACCTACAAAAACTTATACTATCGGTTTTCATATCACCAACTGACCTCTCGTGACCAGCCGACCCGGATTTTAATTGGTCACACCTTCCGAAGACAAAATCAAACTACCCAATAATAAGATTCGGGTAAATTTCGGGGATTGACTTTCATAAATTCTGGAAAATATGACCGGCCGAACATTTGCAGATTTGATAAACTACTTTTGATTCGGATGTGAACCACCAGAATGCAAGTAATATTTTATAAATTAATTATAGTAAATTATGATTTAATATAATATTATACAAGAACTCATTTTTTGTGTTCTAAATGAAATATTTTCTTAAGTAATTTTACTATAAGCCTACTAGTGTTAAAATTTAATATATATGCTAACTCTAAAGTAAATAAACTTAAGAAATTTTATAATATATCATATTATTGAAAATTTTCTTTTACATTCTAGTTCTTTTAGTATACCATAATAATCAAAATCTCTACATAAAATTGACTGATATTATATATTCACTTATTTTATCTATTTGATCCAAGTCTTTTTTCTTATTGCTTACTAATTAGCAATCCGCTCTTTTCGAATACTTAATACTTTATGCATAATATAATTGCTTAGAATTTTCATTTTAAATAGAATTCTATTTAGATTGATTACAATTTTTATTTCTAATTGATTGATTGATATAAATCAAAAATCCTATCCAAACAGCTAAAATAATGATAGATCGAAATTTCTATCTAAATTGAAATTTTTTTAAATCAAAATAAAATACTTTCTTGTTTCTGTTCAATAGTAAATTAAAAAACGTCTTCAATCATATGAATTTCATGTAGTCCTGTGCATCATATTCATAATATTCATCATATTCATCAGTGCATAATACACATGGTACCTTAATCACGATTAAAATTCAGTCGGGGATTAGAAATGATCTAAAATCGTTTCTATTTAAAAAAAAGTTTTTATAATCTAAAAAAAAAAATCGGGTTTAAAAAAACCTTTTAAAATATTCTTACAAAAGTTTATTCTATGAACATGTAGTCTAAGAATTCTCTGGGCTTTAAAAGGCGGTTGTGCCCAAATAAATTCACAGAGTGCTGTCAAGTAAAAATGGGACTTCGGGCTTCCAATTATTATAACGTACCGGACAAAACCTCTGAAAATTTTGATGTAATTAAAGTTCAATTACGTATATCGATATCGTTGATCAAAATTTTCGGAGGTACGTTATATAATTGGAAGCATTTTTTCTCAAATGATGATAATTATTTAAATGAATACTTAATCAATATAAAGATTATTAATCGATATTGAATTAATTCATATTAAGATATGGTGCCAAGCTCTGCTAAAAAAACAGATTTTCAGAATGCCACACGACCTTTGATGCAGCGAAAATCAGAGCATCATCTACGTGAAATCAACAGGCACAATTTTTTAGGTTCAATATATTAATATTTTTATTTATAAAAGAAAAATACATTTAATTATTTATCAACAGGTTGAAAACGGCGATCAATTCCCGAAAAGTAGTCTTAAAACAAAAGCAACAAGCTTTAAAAAAAAGCAAACTATTCAAAGAAAATTTATTGTATGCAATTCAATAAAATTTCTCATCGTGTAATTATTAATTAGAGGTTAATGAAGTATTTTATGGTTTTTTAGGCAAGCTTACGAAAATATCACATCGAACTTAACTAGTTTATTTGGATCAATACGTTCTATTCATCATTCTTTGAAACATATATTTGATGATCAATCAGTTATTAAAGCTAACGGTGAAGGTATGTGCTGACATAAATATGTGTTATCCAAGAAACTTATTTCTTACATTTGTTACAGCGCAGAAATGTGAACAGACCATCGAAGATCTTTTTAAACAGTTTGAATACATATCGCAATTACATAGTGGGCTTAAATGCAATCAAGGTATTTCTGTCTTTTCATTTCTATAGTTGTATATCTATATATTGTGTGATTCATTTCCATATTTAGACGCTATTGAAAATAAAGGTGATGATCTTATGGGTATAGATATCAGGTGAAAACTTTAATCATTATATATCTCAAGTTCATGTTATTTATTTCAATTATTTAAAATGATCGGTCACGGCTTCAACACAGCGATCCGGACGAAGATACAGATTCAAACCTTAACGTAAACATGGAAACTATAATATCACAATACCACCATACAGAATCTCTTATTGATGGGTTATTGAGGGATCTAGAAAGAACAGAAAGGTGAAGGTCCTCTGTAATGTGCACAATTCAAAGATTTAAGATTTGCATTTACATTTTTTATGTTATATAGTTATATAGATGAAATGATTTTATGGAAAGTATCTTGCTCGCATCGACCTCCAGTGAGACATGCATCATAAATATCATTGATACCAATATGGTTAGTTAAACAATTGTCAGGAAAATATACTGCACTATGCTTAGTCGAGTGACAATACGTACTGTAAAATGTAAAGTATACTATAAAAAAAATTATGAATTATTTATAAATTTAGAAAGTATGTGAGATTTTTTATATAAGTGAAGTGAAGTGACGATTAACATAGTGCCATAGTGATAAGATTAGAATTATAAACAGCATAGTGCTTAATTCGGCCTGATGATATAAGTTAACGTATTAAGCGGTTTAAAACATCTCTTCATTTCGGTATAGAGATAGCAGTCAGGAATATGTTACACTTGTTATGTGAGTAGGGTACCTAAGTTTGATTGTTAGTTTGGGTTTGGTTTGGTATTTTTACCAAACTCAAACTACAAATTTTATTAATTTTCAAACACAAATCAAAATCAAAACCAAATTTTATTATAAGTTTGGTTCAGGTTGGGTCTGAAGTAGTTCGAGTTTGAATATATACAAATATTTTATATTTTTATTAATAAAAATATAGAAAATTTTGTGTTGTTTAATATTTTACTGCAAGCAAAAAATTTGTTAGGTTTTGTTAATTATGATCAACAAAATTAGAAAAAAAGATTTTTTATTTAAAATGTTACTTATACTAAAAGAATATTTTGAAAACAAAAAAGATCAAAGATATTTTTAATTAAAAACATTAAAAGTAAAAAAAACAATTAAATTTTTTTTTAATTTGAATCCTTTTAACAATTTAAATTTTTTTAATATTTTTATTTTTTAAAAAAAATATAAGAAATTTGATTTATTCTTATTAAGAGTAGAGTATACATAGATCATTTTTTATATGATCTTTGTGGCACAATATAATTTTTATAAAAAATAAAGCTTTGCTATTAATAAAACTTTTTACTATTGCAATTAATTTTTATTAAATTTTTATATAATATAGAATAAGATATGTTCTTTATGATAGTAAAATTTTTAATAAATAAAATATTTTAAAAAAATATATCTGTATATATTGCAAAGTTCTCCGTAGTGGCTTCAAATTTTCTGTAGTTACACAAAATTGTTGATTATGATTGGTCCAAATCATATGATCTTCATATAATTTATATAAACAATTTATGATACCT